GCCGGACAAATGTCCGCCTTGCCTGCGAGCATGCTACAATGAGCAGGTGGTGGGCTGGTCCAGTAGGCGATGAGGGTTGTCATACTGACGTCATCCTGATGTCACTCAAATTTTAGTTTTTAAAATGTTTTAAATGCATATATTTCAAAAACATAAACTTACTTTAAAAATCAAAACCATGAATTTGAAAAAATGTTAACAAGTATAAAATTTTTGTTAGGGAAGTTAAAAAAAGAAGAAGTCCATATTACAACATTGAATACCATGAAAGTCTAAAATACAATCTTGAACTACGAAACTGTCTAGTTTACAACCTTGTGCTGGGAAACCATCTAGTCAAAACCAGTCAAAAACGATCAAAACCATAGTCCATAGTTATTATTTGTCTGGTTTGAAAGTTGATGGTTGTAAACAAGACAGTTTCATAGTTTAGGGTTGTGTTTTAGACTTTGGTGGTAGTCCAAGGTTGTAGTATGGACTTCTCACTTTAAAACAAATTGATAACTTTTCAAAGAAATGTTCGTGGCAATAAAAATTTATTCCCACACTTAACAAAGTATGTAAATTGTTTCTAGAAAATGTGTATACAATGTAAAAATTGTTTGTGTAATGCCAAATATGTTTCTTAGCACTAAAAGATGTCCGTGACATTTTTAGAAATGTCCCACGTTCAAAAAAATATATGCGTGTATTTCAAAATGTGTTCCTAATTATTTTTTTGTGTAATGTCAAAAACAAAATCGTACAATTAAAAAATGCCAAGTTTAAAAAAAATGTTTGGGACATTAAAAAAATTTTATGCAATATCAAAAATTGTTCGTGTAGGTAAATAAATGATTACTTCCATTTAAAAAGTGTACATGATATTTGTTCATGTGTTTCCAAAAAAATGTCTGTGAAATTTTGATAATTATACACAGGAAAATATTTACTTAGTTTAGAGAAATGTTTATCGCCATTATGAAAATCTGTAATGTGTATTTTGAAATATTACCTTCTATTCAAAAAATTGTTCAAGCCATGCATTTTTATTAAATATACATTAAGAATTTGAAAAATGTCCAATGTGTATCGAAAAAATGTTTCACGTATGCGCTAACAAATGTACATTGAGTACTGAGAAAAAGTAAATGTGTGTTAAAAAATAAACCCGACAAAATAGCATAAATGAAAACCAAGAAAGAAACAAAGGAAACCAAAGTATAACGGAGAAAAAAAAAGGAAAAAGAATACCAGTGAAAAGAAATGAAGAAACCAAATTAGAATGAAGGAAAAAACAAAAAAATGATGAGAACAGGTGAAAAAAATAGAAAAAACAATTAAAAAATAAAGAAAACCAAAAAGGAAAACAACTGGAGCTGGGCGAACCTAAAGTGACACGGGTGGCAGGGAGCGACCTGCGCTAATGGGGCGGCCCGATAGTCACCCGCCCGTAGGCAATTCCTAATAGGAATCGATACGGTATCAGGAATTCCTATTGGCGAGACATAGCGCCCGCACGCTTGACGTATTATTCACATAAAGGACAAATTCGGCATTGAATAGTACATAATGTAAGTTGGGTTTTAGAGTTGGCCCATTATCACATTAATGTCAATTTTATCATTTTTATATCTCAAGCAATGTTTAGAATTTTAGTATTAAATTTTGTGATAACTTAGATTGATATTGTGTCAATATGCTAGATTTTTTTCAAACATTTTAAAATGTGTTATGGCATCTGCCCAGCTGGAAGGCGTAGCAACTACCGACATTCTCCTTCATGCCGCTCGTCCTATACCATCGGATCTTGGACCCGCTTGGTTCTAGTTGTATTCCAACCAACTACTATCTTTTGAAACAGGGGTTCAAAATTCTACTAAATTCTAGAACATCCAAACACCCTTGGTTATGGGGTACACACATACAACAACAAGATTCTCATACGAACCAAAATAGTCAACACTTTTTGCGACCATTTGCTTTTGCTATGAACATCCTTCCCTTTGAATAAGGTCGTAATACCAATTCCATACCACATCAAAAGGGGGAACATCTCTCAAAAGGAAAAGGGCATCAACATAATAAGTGTTGAGTCACGTGTAGTATGTGTTGCGTTGGATGTCGAATGATTTACCATCGACCAAGTGGTGCCAACTTATTAGACCATTGCTAAAATTCTTGCAAATAGGTTCAAGCCTCACTTTTCGGATTACGTTGACCCGTCTCAACAAGCTTTCATAGAGGGCTAACTTGTTAGTGATAACATTATTATCACTCGGGAAATTACCCATTCTGTTGCAATTAGATCCTGGAAGTATCAAGGTTTTATGCTAAAATTTGACATTGCAAAAGCTATCCATCGTTCAGAATGGAATTTCATTGTCTCTTCTCTCACACGCAAACGGCTACATGGTTATTTTATTATTTTGATCTATCCGTGCATGTATTCTCTTGTCTTATGTTATCATTAATGGGCAAACTTTGAAGATTCGGGAGTACCAAAGGTATCAGGCAGGGTTGTCCATTATCCTCCTATCTTTTTGTGCTGACAATTAATGAGTTTTATTTGTCTCTCAATGATGCTATGACAGCTAAAAACTTAGAGGGTATCGTCACTGCCGGAG